CTTGGCCAAATAAAATAGAATCATAGAATAGATCAGGTTGGAAGGGATCTCAAAGGTCATTTAGATCCAACCTCTTGCCATGGGCAGGGCTACCTTCCACTAGACCAGGTTGCTCAAAACCCCATTCAACCTGGTCTTGAACGCTTTCAGGGATGGGGCATCTACAGCTTCTCTGGACAACCTGTTCCAGCGCTTCACTACCCTCTAAGTAAATAATTTCTTCCTACCCTCTGTAAGTTTAGAGCTGTTGCCTCATGTCCTATCCCTGTATGTCCTTGTAAAAAGTCCCTTTCCTGCTTTCTTGTAGGTTCCCTTCATGTAATGGAAGGCTGCAAATGGGTCACTCCGTAACTTTTCTAGGCTGAACAACCCCAACTCTCAGCCTTTCTTTCACCCCTCTGATCACTTTTGCGGCCTCCTCTGGGTTTGCTCCAGCAGGTCCATGTCTCTCCTGTAATGGGGACCCCAGAGCTGGATGCAGTACTCCAGGTGGAGAAGACAGGGAAAATCACTTACATGTAATATATCATTATAAACCACTTTTGAAAATCAAAGGGCTGTCTCAAGCCCCTGTATTCACCCACCTTTTGCCAACCTGACTGTAGCAAAATATTTAAGTTGGCAGTTCTATGCTGAATTTCATTCCCTGTATCATTTTCAGGACAATGAAACTCTAACTCTTTTGCCTCACCTTTAAACCACCCCTTTGAGTTCTAACACAGGTTGGTGAGCGCTCAGACCTGCCCTGTGAAGGGAGCCCAGCTGAGAGGCAGACACGGTGTGCACGTACCGCCACTGCCACACACCTTCCCAGCTACCTGATGGCACAGGGAGCAGGCAGGGGTGGGCTCTGCCCCATGTCTCGGTGGCAGCAGCTCTTGGGCGGTGTGAGGGCAGTGCCAGGAAAGGTGTCCATGAGCCAGCACCGTGCCCATGCAGCCAAGCAGACTAGCGGTATCCAGGGGTGCGTTAGGAAAACCATTGCCAACAGGCTGAGGAAGATGATCCTGCTCCTCTGCTCTGCCCTGGTGAGGGCTGCACCTGGACTGCTGCATCCAGTCCTGGGCTCCTCAGTACACGACAGGTAGCTCCTGGAACGGGTCCTGTGGAGGATTAACGAGAACAATTAAGGGAGTATCTCTCTTAAGAAGAACCTTTGGGAGAACTGGGCCTGTTCAGCCTCGAAAGGGAACGACTGAAAGAGAACTTTATTGCTATCTATAAGGGATGTCAAGGGGATGGAGCCAGGCTCTCCTTGAAGTGCCAAGCAATGGGATGTAAAGCAACAGCAAAAACTGATGCACAGGAAATTCCACCTAAATACAAGGAAAAACTTCTTTACTGTCCAGTTGACCACATTCTGGGACAGACTGTCCAAAGAGGTTGTGGAGTCTCTCTCGCCAGAGATATTCCAGAACCATCGAGATGCAATTTGGTGCCACGTGCTCTAGGATGACCCTGCCTGGCAGGGAGTTTGGGCCAGATAACCCACTGAGGTCCCTTCCAGCCTGGCCCGTTCTGTGAGGGTGCCGGCAGTCTGGCGGCCCTCTGGGCCGTGCCGCCGCGGCTCCCGGGCCCTGCCCGCCGCGGGCAGCCCGGG